TAGTAACTAAAATAACAATTTAATAGTAAAATTTGATTATTTACAATGTTAACATTCATTTTAGTAGAATGGGTAGACTCGCCCCATACGAGAGATTTGTCAGCAGTTCTATAAAAATATACAGTAACAGCGTAACTGTTAATATTTTCTAAAATCGATTTCACAGCTTTAAAGAGGGATAAATAGCGATTCCGAAACACCTATTAAAAGCCTTTTTTCTTTAATATTTACAAAAGTTTGACCACTTGAAAGTTGACAAACTGAAAAAATGGGTAGACTCGCCCCGGTTTACGGTACGCAATAAAATCTTAATAATTTTTTCAAATGTTAAAAATAAACCACAAAAACTAATTAAAATTTTAAAAAAAGTGTTTTTTGCCCTGATGATCTTACTTTTAATTAAGAAACGCACATTTCCATTTGAACATTTTCGAACTAAAGTACATATAACAAAGAGTTTCAACTCCTCACTGCAATCAATAGCATAGCTGTGTGATATCGATACACTAACACTTATTTTAACTCTTATTTACGTATTTATTTTCTGACTTCATTACTTTAAATCAAAGTCAATGATTTAATATTTTACAATTTCAAATGATTTAACGGTGAACATTTCTTTTACATATTGCATAAAATCCGCATCTGTGATTATTTTTAAATAGAATATTGAAGCAAGAATTACGATAATGCATATTGTTATTATTATGGCTAAAATTTAATTTCAATTATCGGCATGTTTCACATTTGCGTTTAGCTTTACAAACTTTTATTTAAGAATAGTCAAACGTTTTTTATTCAAATTTTTAAATTAAATACACACTATGTTAGCTTCATAAATGCAGCATAAATAAGTAAGATTTGAGTGCGAAATTTATTGATTCAAAATTAAAAAAAATATGTTGCAAGGTTACCTGTTTTTCCGAGACAATAAGTATGGTTTTATCCAATAAATTCATAAAATCATTTTAAAGAATAAAAAATAAATTAATAAAAATAGCACACTTCGAGTTATATTTCGCATAAGTCGGCTACATACATCTCTACTTTTAAGAAAAAGCGACTATCTGATTATTTTATTTCCCATGCCAGTGTTGACTTCAATCCTTCAAGAGATAACAGATTAAAGTTTTATGACGATACACTTGCATTTCTTAGGGAATCTTTTAGGGAACTGAAGGCCAGCCTCATTGCTTGCACAATAAATAAAGCCGGAAATAGAATAATAAATCCTTATTTTGATTATTATTTGGGTGATTCTCACGAAATATGACAATTTACAGTCTCTTGCTCCAAGACCTAATACTATAATACTAAAAGAACTTTTTTTAAAAAAAATTTGATAAATAGCATTGTTGTTAGCATTTTAAAAATGACTTTGCATTAGCATTGACTGTTTTGTATATTTAAAAAATTCAAATAAATTTCAAAATATCATTTTCCTGGTATGTCACAAACAATATTCCCGATAATAACTAGTTTCAAAACTTCCCCAAAATTTTTCAATATCTAATTTTTTTTTATCTCAACCGTTGTAAGCATTTCTAGAATGTACTCAGAGGGTATTGCTATTTACAAAAACTTTGTTGAAAATATTTTTTTCGGTCAATAAATTGTTTGTCACACGAAAATCTGGCTACTTTTATTTAGTGATTTATAACCAAAATAGATAGCGCCAGCCATCAACATTTTATGTTAATAGATTGATTAGAATACCATCCTATTTGAACATGTGTTTTGCATGAATTAAGAACCAACTTTCTGGTTCAAAATCTATTTCAAACAATTTTTCAAGGTGAGTAGGTTTTTATGTTGTCATTTTCCTGTCTTGAAATCATTAATAGCATGAACTACATAGATTTATCTGAGTTATTTCAAAAAATTCTGTTATATTCTGCGGAATGTAAACGTCTTAGGCTAAAATGTTTCATTAAAATAAAGCTATATGCTATAAAATTTCAAATTTGTCATTAACCTGGCTTTCATTTTCCTGGCTTATGAATCACTGGACATTGACGTGTAACCAGAAAATTTTATAAACAGTATACTGTAAAGAGGTGATTTAATGATTTATTTAATGATTGATTATTATGCACAACTTTATTCCGTACGCATCAGCAACAAAAACATTTTTGATTCTTTCCACAGTGGATGAAAGAATTAATTTAAGTAATTCATGGTCAATCTGACATAAAGGCTTAAGTTGAGTTACTTACTATTAGCTTAAAATCACTGTTTCTTAAACTTCTAAGCTAATACGTCATTTTCCTTGCTTTCAAAATTTGGTGAATTTCTATTTTTTTTTTCTTGAGAAAATTTCAATAAACTGCACTAATGTCTGTAAGATATTAATAAATGTGAGTAAATAAATACACACAAAAATTTAGATAATTTTAAAGACTTTAAATTTGAAGAAAATTTTTTTTTCGAATTTTTATGTTTCCAAAGATTCACCCGTTTACTGGTTGTTATGTTAATTATTAGGTTGTTATGTGAAAATGGATTTATAATACTATGAATTGATTGTGTAAAACTGAAGTAAATAAATGCAAAATGAACCAAAACATGATAATGGTTACAGTATAAAATTATTTTCATTTGGTTTAATTACAACTTTAAATAATTACAACAAATACAAGTACGTTATATAACAATTCACAAATTAAAAAGCCATGGATTACAGACATTAGACTATAAAATTAATACAAAACCATTTTCAAAATAAACTACTTTATTAAAAGCGTAGAAACGGGAAAAAATTGAATTCACACACACACACACACACACACACACACACACACACACACACACACACACGCACACACGCACACACACATATATATCAACGCTTTAACAAATAAAGGTTAGATCAGGAATGTGACGTAGATCCTTAGATCGAATGTGGCAAAGCTCACGGTTAACAGTTACAAGTTAGGCGCCAGGCACAAAGTGCAATTTAAATAAAATTGTGGCCGTGACCGTAAGATTGTCAATGAAACAAATGTAGCCGTGATGACTCAGGGAATAGAGCGTTCGCCTTTCAATGCGGCGAATCGGGTTCGAATCACAGTCGATACAAATTCCGCATCCGGCTTGCACTGACCGTAGTACTGACGTGAAATATCCTCAGTGGTTAGCTCCATCAAAAGGTCCTCCACGAAGGAAAATTTCTCCCTATACTCGATCCAGGAAATCCCTTGTCTTCTGGATTGGGTTCAAAATGACAAGGCTACGGAGTTGAACATTAGTAGTCGTAAACCCATAAAATTGGGTCGGTTGTTCAACGACGGTTATGAAATAAAATAAAATTAAACAAATGTTGTCTTGAGTCGTGGTGGCTCCAGGAGGTGATCCAGGCTCGAATCTCAGCCGTGACTGGTTGATGCGAAATCTTCTCCCAACTCACAGCAACCATTTTTTTAACGTTAAATATTCCCAGTGTTATACCGACCATAATCCTCTTGCCGTCGTTGTAATAGTGAAAAGTTATCGTGGTTTTTCTCTCCATTAAACGCAAATTCATGTTAGTTCCATCAAAAAACCTTGCAAGAAGGAAAGTTTGTCTCATTCCTAGATTTCGCTTATCTTCTGGGTTTGTTTTAAAATTACAAATATCACTGAGTGAAATTGACAGTGACATGTTTTTGTATTCACAATACTGTCAGCTGCCCCCAGAAACAGCACCGTGAAAAATTGAGCACCGCATGGCAGTATTATTCACAACTCTGCCGATAATAACGTCTTTTAAAATTTCCATAAGTCCCCAGTAATATTTACAGCATTGTTCAAAACATCAACTTTGTAAATTTTACAGTTTCCGTAACTTTTAAAATACCTTTTTTGCGGGATACTTTTTCCAGACAATATTTTGATTTAATTTCACTTAGCCTGTGACCTAGTCAAGTAATTTACTCTCTGTCATCCCATGTGTATGTAAGATAGGAAATTTTTTTATAAGTTTGGCTTTACATGGTAACTACGTTGTACTAAAAATTTATGCCAAATTTAAAAATTAGATTTTTGCAGATGCATAAAACACGTTGCTTGATTTTAGGAGGGTACTATTTCAAGGCAGATTTTTTCCCCTTTAGTTCTTTTTTTTTCGAATGGCAGGCACTGAACTTTATTCGTTTCACCTTAGAAGATGCCAGATGTGTTACTCATTTCGCGTTACCCAGTGGGCACCTGTGAACCAAAGTCACGGAGGCGATTAACATTGCCCACGCCACACTGCCACAAACCCATTCATAGGGTGGGCCACATTCACACACAACTTAGGACAGCAGAAGAGAGAGAAATATCCATGCCCAGAGCGGGATTCGAACCCGCGGCCATTGGCCTTGCAGTCAGGCGCGCTAACCGCTCGGTCACCTGGCCGGCCCCCTTTAGTACTAATATCAGCAAAAAGTTATTTTAAATTTTTCAATAGATTAAATAATATTTACTTGTAATGGCAGTGGTCAGAAAAACTACATTATTTTTGTAATTAACTGCTTTTACAACTACTTTGTTACAAATTTAGTTAACTACAACTGCAACTACTTTTTTTTAAAATGTAGTGACTACATACTACTTTGGAATTGTAATGACTATTTCGCTTCTCTGAGGAACCGAACTTTGCTTTAGAAATTAATTTACACATTAAATTCAAAATGGTTTTGAATAAAAAAATTGGCTTATACTAAACATGAGGAATTACTTATATTTATTCATGTTTCTATAAGCCATTTTGTTATTCTAAAACATTTATTTTTTAAATTTGATTATTTAGTGTTCAAACTTTTTACGCCCTTCTTGACAGCGAATAATTAATTTTAGAGATGCTAGAAAATTATCAAGTACTTTCAATTTTGTAAAGTGTTTACAGCTCTTTTATTTCTTCTAAGAAATTAAGTGCATTGAGAATAAGTTTCCTTCCTTTGAAATAACATCATTGTTTTGCGAATGAACATTTGCCTATGAAAGTGGGACTAAAGTGATAAATTATCTATTATTCCTAATGGCTAGCTTAAATATTAGTTATACGTGACTCTAAATACGTAGTTATTGTTAACTCACAGCCACGAGGGCATTTGAAATTGCATCCTTTGACAGACTCTAGAAGATTTGTAGCCATCAAATTTGTAAAATTAGTTGTGTTAGAACTTTTTTTATGTACTAAACTAACGTAAAAAGTAGTTGCCAGGAATCGCTACAAACTACTATTTTTTTTGTATCGCACTACTCATTATACTAAAACTAAACTCAGTGGCGCGACAGCCCATAGACGGCCAAGGCCTACTGTGCCCATCTCAGTTTTCTTGACCTTGGGCTCTGGGGTGCAGGAGCAGATGTTCCGGTCTGGAGGTCAACCAAACGCGGAACCCCCAGTGTTTAGTTCTCATCTATCAACCCACTGAGGGAATGAAAGGCTGATTCACCCTTGCCCGGCCCTAAGATCGAAACCAGGACCTGTGGCATGGAAGCGCGAAGCGCCACCACTCAGCCACCTGGAGTCGCTCACTATACTACTTTAAAAAAAAAAAAAACACCAAACAAATTGCAAAAAAGTAGCGACATCAGTAGTTTCACTACTTGTAGTGAGATACATCCGACCACTGTGTAAAAGGCATTAAAGAATCTTAAAAATCCTACCAAATAGCAAATATATCATACTTTTTTTTTCATTTTAAAAAAATTTTTATCGTTTTACTGTTTAAATGTTTTCGTTTAACTTTTACAATACAGATATTTAAATTTAACATCAAAGAAACAGTGAATTTCAAGAATGAGTCAATATTTTTTTTTTTTTTTGTAATTTGATATACGTTGAATTTCACCCATCACTCATTTTGTCGTGTAAGGAATAACAGAACTGGTAAGAAATATTTTTTATTGCTATTTTGTTCAGATAAATCATTACGTTAAAAACTATATGGGTGATTCTTGATTCGAAGCATACTGAACTATTTATGCAGTCAGTAAGATTTCAATCTATTAATTTCCTTAACCACATTCTCGAAATTATTTCCTTAACTTGGTGAATTTTTATGAAAAAAAAAACATTTCAGAACTTTAATTAAAGTTGTGTACAGTGCTACAGTGCGCAAAAAAAACATGAACCAGACTGAATAACTTTTGATCCAATAATCAGAGCACAATCTTAAAGGTTCGAAGGAAAGTCGCATTTTTGAAAATTCTCGAGATATGTTGAAATGCGCAAAATGTAAAATAAACATTAAGGGGATCCAAACTTTGGACAACTCTCCTGACTAAACAGATGGGATCATGTTTCCCAGATTGCTGCTACCCCCTATATTTTGAGGGTCAGAAATCAGAATCCATCGGTAAAAGGTTATCTTATCAAGAAATGTAGCTATGAAGAAAAAGTACGTTTTGTGTCTTATTTCGTAACTTATAATAACGTCTGAATTAATGAATTTGCATGTTTGACATCACCCCTTTGAATCATTGAGATTGTGTCATAGAACGTAAGGATCCGATCATTAGTTCAAAAGTTAGTTAGAGTGGTTCATTTATCTTTTTACGCACTGTACACTCATAAATAGACTCGTAGAATATGATTTAGTAAATATGATATGATAAATTATAAATATATAATTTTATTTAAAAATCAAATATTTACAAAAGTAATGCCATACTTTTTTACTACATACAAAATTAATTAAAAAATAAAGTTTTGTATTTTCAAACATTGTCAGTCCTCTTTAAAAGCTGAATTTCACTGTGCCTTTTGATCTCTTTCTTTTCTCTTACATTTGAAAGCCAAGGAAGTAAAAGTACAGTAATGCTGCAGAAAATATTCATTGCTGTAAGTAAATAATATAGTCCATCATAGGAACCTAGGTTTCCTCTAAAATACCCTGCAAAAATTGAAATATGCTTTACGTTCTACAGAATAAAAAAAATTATCTAAGTTTAAATAAAATGAAGTGCTAACGTAACGGAAGATAAATGCTTCGATTTGAATGTTTTTTTTTTTTAATTTCTTTACGAAAAATACCTCACAAAATACGTGGTGAAATATTAGTTTGATATTCTGTGCTTTTAATTATTATGAAAGTTGAGTGAAATAGATTGAGTGAAATAATAATTACTAATAAACAAATTATAGTGAAACACACTCATCTAAACATGCTATTTTTTGATTTAGAATCGATTAAGAATGACAACTAAATTATTCGAAATTTGTTCACCAGTTATCATTTAAACATTTCAAGGGAATTCGTAAATTATTAAATAATCGTGGAACTCAGAAGGAAATATGATAGAGTGTAATGTATAAACAAATTAGGTTTTCAAAGATAAGTTCCGTATGTTTGAATATGCTAAATTTAACGATAGCGATATTTAAGCAATTTATTTTGCCTTTTTCGTCTTTTCTGCTTAGGAAGCAAATTTAATTCTCATTATTTTCCAAAATTACTAACCGATTTTGTCAGTAGATGGCGCTCCTAACTAAAAACAATTATTAATCATTTTTCTCAAAATAAATTCTATTTTTACCTGCAACGTGACGCAATCCAGGAAAAAAATTATATGACGCTCGAAAAAAATAGTTTAAATGGAATGCTCTTACATGCATTTTTACTGTTTTATAGTGATCAACACCATTTATTGGAAATTTTGAATCGAATTTCGAAACATGGTTAGAATAAATCTCCCATTTTCCAAGTAGAACGATGGAAATATTGCATTTCTATGTCTTTCCATTTTTCTTTGAATCTTTAGTCCAGTTCTGCTTTAATAATTTAAATTGACAGTCATTTTTCAGGGTTGTGCCACTCATGTCTGGAAGAAAATCCTTGTGTGTTCCCAGCTCATACTGTTCGCACTATATTAATATGAAACACACATTCACTCATGTATGAACTAAATTTGGACAAGGATACTAGCTAAAATTTCTAAAAGAAAACTTAGAGAAGTACGAAACAGCTCAGCATACTTAAAACAAATAATGTTATAGTTAAATAAACAGTATAGTATAGTTTATTATCATCTTGAAATATCCCATAGATTGCAATGCTAGTATCCTAATGATAGTATACTAGTAATAGAATCCTAATACTTATTTTATAGATTACAATAATAGGATAACGATGTTAGTTTAAATTGCTGGAGAAACTTTGAGAAATTAAAAACAACTCATCTGTCTTAAAACAAATAATGCTATTGTAAATCGAATAGTACAGCTGAACCATCATTTTTAAACATCCTATGGACATCCCGTTCACTTTAAGTAGACGGCAGTTTATAAGGACAAAAATAAGAGATAAAAGTTTCGATATTTCCCTAATTTGTGAAATTTTTTTTTAAAAATTCCCTGTTATTTTAAAGGATTTTTAAATTCCCTGCATTTTCCAGTTTTTCCCTATTCTCCCTGTCAAGTGGCAACCCTGTGTGTGCGGGGGGGGGGGGGCTCATTTATCCACTGCATGCAACCAAAAGTGCTCATACAAATCTAAATAAAATTGGATTAAGTGAATTATAAAGAAAAAACAAATCTGTGATCTGTACTTATTCTACATTTTTTTAAACTATAATTCAGATTTTTATCAATGAGAGGTGATATTGTTAAATTTAAAGGAGCATAAGGTAAACCAAATGAGGTAACAGCAAATGTTTGTCTATTCTTTGCAATGTATGAATAGCTCCTTTCAGGAATATATATTACCGAAATTCCCGCAAATATATTACCGTAATTCCATGCCAAAACTGCTCGACTGGGCCATCCTGACACTGGAAGTAGCTATTACGAGATGCATTAAGGCACCGAAACTGGATGCAGATAAATATTTTTTATCAGCCACCCCTATGAGTCTCAAATGACCCATATTTTCCAGGATGCGATGAAAATACAGCATATAAATCTGATTAGTTCTATCAATATTTTTATCTCTTAAGTAATCCTGCATGCAGAACTGATTAAAATTTGATAAATAAATTACGAAAGAAAAAGAAATCTGTAATCTATACTTATTGTCCTTTTCTTAAAAGTGTAGTTCAGTTTCTTACCTATGAGAGGTGATACTGTTAAACTCAAAGGAGCATAAAGAAAACCAAATGATGTAACAGCAAATGTCTGTTTATCCTTTGCAATATATGAATAGCTCATTCCAGGAATAATGTTGTTCATGCCACCAATCGCAAAAGATATTAGCATAATTCCAGCTATCATCATGCCAAAACTGTTCGACAGTGCCATCCAGACACTGGAGGCAGCCATTACAAGATGCATTATGGCACCGAAACCGGATACAGATAAATACTTTTTATCAGTCACCCATGTGAGTCCCAGGCGACCCACAATGTCCGGGATGGGTTGAAAAGTCAGCATATAAATCTCATTAGTTCTATCAATATTTTTATCCCTAGAATAATCAATCATTGTTGTCAATACCACAATTAACGTATAGGCAAATAAAGATTGTGTAATTGATAGCGCTATGAATGTTGGGTCTTTCATCACGGCGAGAGGGTGCCAAATATTCCTTCGTCCTTTAGAAATACACTGTTTAGTTTTCATTTTCATAAAATATACGCGCTTTTGGTGAAGGGTGCTTAAAGGAGGCTTATCATCAACACTTTTTGTAACTTTTGAATTATTTATTGCATGTTTTGAACTGACATTGTCTAATTCTTGAACGTCAACTGCTTCAGAGTGTAATTGATGACATCGTGTTGAGCCAGAGGAATTACTAATGAATGAACACATAGTTTGCACATGATTAGGACAATGTGACACAGTTTCCTCAAAAACTAATGTTGATTCTATTGGGCCATCTTTACATGGGGAGTACTCATTACATTTTGCCGGTATGCACAAATCATTATCAGTTCTTTCTTCGTTTAATAAGCTATCTGCTTGCAAGTCGTTATCTTTATTAATATCTTCTAAATATGTTTTATTATGAAGAGCACGTTTAGACCCTGTTGCAACTGGTTTATGCAGAATTATAACGAAGGGTATTGCATTTAATATGATGCCCGATGTCAGTAAAAAGGTTCCCGATAGGCCATACTCATTTAAAAAATATATTATAATTGATGGGAATGCGATGGAACAAACACTTGGTCCAAGATTAAGTAACCCATTAGATATGGCTGCAGAATCATTATCAAAATAATCTCTGATGATGCTGGGCAGCAATGCTGTTACTGTAAATCCAAATCCTATAGTTAAAGAAAACATAATTGAAATTATTTTAGAATATAAATAGCATAACCACAACAAGATTAAGTAAGAATAACATTCACACACCGATGAACTAAAGCCATTAATATAATAATAAGATAGAGTAATTATTCCGTTAAAAAAAACTATGTGTTAAAGTTACGGAAAATTTTTTTCAGGTGGTGTGGTATAAAACCATTTATTTCACAGAAAAATACTGTTTTTTTTTTAAAATAGACTCCTGTTATTTTACCAGATTAGTGCTGCTTTTTTCAACAAACAAACTCTGTTGTTTAAAAAAATCCAAACAAGAGTAGCATTCATACGACCAGCAGTCGATACTATATATATATATATATATNGGTCAGTCGATAATATATATATATATATATATATATATATAAATTTAAAGTTTATAAGATTAGGAATAGAGAATTGAACTAAAAATAATTGTATATAGTGAATTAGTAGTTTAATGGTGCCAGAAAAATAAAAGATTAAAATTATATTAAGATATTTGAATTGGAATGAAATGAAAATACAAGCTCCAAGAAAAAGAATTGGGATAATATGATAAAAAAAAATTCATTGAACAGTACATAATTATATTTGGATATTGAATATTCTCAGTCATTGATAGGTGAATAAAAAATGTAGTGCAAGTACAAAACAAAGCAGTAAGAAACAGAGCTTAGCGCAGTTACAAAATTGGTTCAATATTCAAGCTACGTGAAGTTGATGAAGAACAAATAGGTACCACTAGAATTAAGAATAAAGTGGAATGACATAAATTAAGCAGTTAACATAACAGTATTCAATAATTGAATGATTAACATTTTTCGATAAATAATAGAGGTATTTCCAATAACATCTCAATAAAAATAAAACAAAAGGTATTCATCACATACAGGAGATTTTGAAGAAAAAAAAAGATGAAATGGAGATACTTTTAAACGCTGCACTCATATTCTTTTAATTCTGCCTTATATTTTGTTTACATCACACCTTCACAAGCCGAAATTCTTTTTTGACGTTAAGTAACACCACAAACAAATCAAATTTGGAGAATATAAATTTAAAAAAAAAAAAACATGTACGTTTGCTTAAATCTATCGAAAATGAGCGTATTTTTGAAATTTATAAAAAAAGCATTTGTAATCTAACGTTATACATTATAGAAGATGTAAGACAAAGATGGATTCAATGGGTATTATAGAGATAATAAAATAATAGCTCTTATTTTCTGAAATTAACACTTAGGAAAGTATAAAATTAAGGAGATAAATAAAAAAGAGCATTTATTTGCTGAAACAAACACTAAGCATAGAATTAAGGAGTTATATGAAAACGAGCATTTATTTTCAGAAATTAATACTTCGGAAAGTATAAAATGTAAGGATCTTAATATAAAAGAAACATTCAGAAGTATAAAGAGGCACATAAAAGGGACATTAAAGTTACTGAAAATGGACAGTGAAACATTATGGCGAAATGATTGATTTTATCGTTAGTTAATTATCAAAAACATAAGGGTCATAAGAATTTGCATCAATAATCAAACCAAAGGGAAAATATGTTGTAAAAGGAAATTAACTCCCTAGAAACAAGCCAAAATCTGCTTCTCAGAGAAAGAAAAGGGATCCATCAAAGTCAATGTTAGAAACAAAATGGCGCAAAAATCGAATTAGCCGTTAACTGATAAATTTTAGAACAAACCTCCAGACCAGCTATAACCAATTAAAATTTAAGAAGTTTCAAGTTTGAAAAATTAGTGATTAAGATGTAAAAAAAAGAAAAAAAGGGAATTCACGCCTACAGTGTGCGATTTTGCGAAAACAGACCCATAAACTCTGTGTTTTAAATGTCAAAACAAAAGGCAGCAGGAAACCAAGGGCGGGAATAAAGGGGATTTTCCCGCTCACAGGAAATTTAATATCTGACATGAGGTGCAATGACCGCTGAACGCAAAGAAGGACATAAAAAGTTAAGATCCTTTTCCAAAAGAAAAGAAAAATTTTACGAGACAAAAAATTATTATTCTTCCTATTTATGTTTAAATTAAGAAAACTTCCTAAATTACGAAAACTCACTCGAAAATTTCACATAGAATAAACTAAAACTGCTATGAAATTAAGGGTAAATAAAGACTTAAAATAATTGGATGAAAAGATTGAAATAAAAAAAAAGAGTAATTGTAACATTACGCTAAAAGTGTAACTGTTACATTTATACTAAATGTTTAAATAATTGAAATTAAATTTGTTTAAACATTTGAATTATGAGTTAATATTCAAATACTAAACAAAGAAATTAATATTTTGCATTAACATTTAATTTAAATTTTATTGCCCAGCATTTAAATTAAAATGTAACAGTAAAAAGTTAAATTTTAAAAATAGGAAATTACCATAGAATAAGCCTAAAGTTACTGATAATATTATGTAGCCTTGTGCAAAGTAGCTTGTACTGACGCCAATTGCGGCTAGAGAGCAACCCACAAAGGCCATACATTGTAATCCAAATCTTTCCACTAAGATTCCAAATGCAAGACCTGATGATAAAAAATATAAAATTAGTACAATGCACATTTCAGTTTGATATCAGAAAATATTACAAAATAAAATTGTTGTTTTTTTTAAAAATTTTATTGTATGCATCAACGGCAATGTTGAATTCATTTGCACGAAATTTTAAGAAATGTTGTGCCAAAAACATAGGATCTGATGAGATTAGGTAGTGAAAATAGAGTTTAATTGCGTAGCAATAAAATCAACAGAAGCTATTTATTTAATTGTGCAATTAATTACGTAATAATTAAAACTTGATTTAAATTGGTAGCTTGCTACAATGTCAGCAAATTGAGCAGCAGTGGCTCTGGGAATAGAGCAATCGCCTCCAAATGAGGTAATCTAGATTCGAATCCCTGAAGTGGTTGGTTAAGACGAACTCTGCTCCCAGATCTCCCGACCACAGTGCTGACGTAAAATATCTTCAGTGGTAAATGGATCATGGGTTAGATTACCCTTGCCGTTGGGCTAACCGTTGGAGGTTTTCTCAGTTTTCCTCTCCATGCAGCAGATGTGGCTAGTTCCATCAAAATGTCCTCCACGAAGGTTAGTTTGTCCTAGTGCATGATCCAGAAGTTCAAAATTACAAGGCTATGGAATTGAACATTGATAGTCGTAAACTCAGAATCGGGTCGGTTGTTCACTACCGATTTTGAAATAAAATATAAAATAAAATTTAAGCATATTTAAATTGTAAGTTGAAATTACTGTTTTGGTGCTAAAATGTTGGAAGTCATATAACGGGCAGTAATAGGAATAATTAAAAGATGTGTAGCGTTTTGAATATAAACGAAGATCATCATCAGTTTTGTCAAGGCCCTAAAATGAAAGAAATATCATCGAATCATTCGAATTTCAACGTGAGAATAGCGGAAAAGAGTGGCCGATGTTTAAAAGTATGAACCGGATAAGGCCGAATTGACGATATAATAGGTGGGTTAATTTCGAAAGCCTGAATTGAAACTATTATTCGACTGCGGGCGAAACATATGTAATGGTTTAAGAAACGAATGGAGAATGGTATGGAACGGAATTTAAATATGAGGGACTGACAAACAACAGGAAAAAAGTCATCAACTAATTATTTGCATATTTTTAAATATGGAATGATTCTAAGAAATTCATTTTAGCGGGCACAGTGATTATTTCAAAAGTCAGTGAGAAGTCAGTCAAAAATTTAAATCAATGATTTTTTGTTGAGCAAAGGAATTGCGTTTGGTATATTGATTTTATACATGTATCTTTTATGCCATTCAAATAGAAGTATATATATATATATATATANCTAGCATATATATATATATATATATATACTGTCAGAAAAAGTAACCAGCAAAAGAAAATGAGATAAAAAAACAATTTGATTTAGTTTTGAACAAGACACGTCCGTAATTTGAATGGCAGGTAATTATTTCTTAGAGAAAACCTTTTGAATGCATTTCATTTTTTTTATCAGTTCCTTTTATCAATTATCATTTAATTAGTTTGTTATCAACCAATTTCACCATTTATGAAACTGTATAATCTTTTAGTTGTATCCGACTGGATGAAAATTGTCAAATTATTTTTTTGCTGCCGATATTTTAACTTCATTGGCTTTAAAAAAAGCCCTTAAATTTTGGAGCTCATGTTTTTAAAAATGATATTATTGTTGCTTTTTGGTATACTGACTGACGGATGGTATGTTATATATAGAATACTTGGTTTATAAGACAAAATAAGGAATATGAAAAATGTTACATACTTTGCTTTGTCATCGTATAGAATATTTAGGCTCTTTACGCAAAATAAGAAAAAGATAATTCTAATGTATTTTTCCAAATCATTGTATAATATACATGTAAGTTAGTCATTAGACTTTCTACAGAATGCCTAGATAATGTGAAATATTAATTAATTCATGTTCTGCCGACCAATTTTCGGCATTCTACAAGATGCAGAATTTCGTGTAATGTCGGAAATATCTACAAGGATTAACATACTGATTAAAAGTGCTTAGAATTATTTTTGCAGAAATATATACTTACCTGACAAGGCTCTTACAATGGCTAACACCACAAACGGAATTGCTGCTAAGTCCCTTTCGATTTCATATTGTTCAATAACAGCGACATAGAACAATGCAAACATTTTAAACGGAGGAAGTATCAAGCAAAAGACAACAGAACTTGCTATTAAAACTCTCCAACTATTCCAGCTTTTTAGGCCTTTCCCTTTTGCTGCGTAGCCTTCAAGGGTTTCTCTAGGTTGCTCTTTAGGCTGGATATCGAAAACGAAATGCGTATTAGATACATAACAAGATACATATAAACATACATAAAAAGAAATGCTATGCATAGTGAATAAAAGAAATCACCTTGAATAACTTTTGTTCTAATGGTAAGATTTTCTTAGTGTTAATCTTAATCGCCTAAAAGGTTAACCCTGAATATGCTATTATTCAGGACTAACCCTTTAAGTCATTAATTATATTAACCCTTTACTTAATCTTCTTAGTCATTGACTATGCGAACCCTTTAAGCTATATATTAATATCAATTAGTGATATTTCAGTAACCGAATTACCCAGGTAATCCTACTTTCTCTAAATAAGCAAACCTCTTTTTTTTTGGCAGATTTGGATTTATGGCCAACTAAATAGCCGCATTCTTGAAAATAGAGTTCTATTAATCTCGAGACTCTTACTTGTGAAAAAGGTATAGTAGAAATAATTCTAATCTCTTTTACCTGGATCTTATCTATTTACCAGACTTCGCTCGCAAATCTGCTTCGCTTGTGTTCAAAAGAAAACGAATTCTAATAATTAAACAATTTTAATGAGAGGATGGACTTAACATGAAAAACGATCTTCTTTCATCGAAGCTATAGAAATCAAACTAAAACAGAAAAGAAAAAAACATTAATGTTCGTTCAGTTCGAGCGCCATCTGTGGGCATTCAAGTTAATCTGTTTCATCCTCCGGCCCCAAAAGACCATTGAACAAACAGTTTTCGGTCCTTTTGATTCTTAGCCAAGTTCACAAGGATATAGTTGTTGAACTGGTCTTTTTAAATTAGTTCCATTAGAAAGTCTAATTGTGCACGATCGAGTCTTTCCATCACGTCCAGGATGGACACAGGTGACAATCCCCATTTTCCACATGAGTCGAGGAAGTTTCTTGTCGTACACTAGGACGGTTGAGTCTTTGGTTGGCAAAACATTTTCTTTCTGTCTCTTTAACTGGTGGGCCGTTCTTAGTTCTAGAACAGTGTTTCCCAAAGTGTGGTACGCGTACCCCCAGGGGTACGGGAACAGTTTAGCGGGGGTACGCGTTCTTATGCGAAATATCTTGCAACAGACGAAAATTTCAAAAAATTTAATTTAAAAACAAAGCCAGTCATTAAAATTTACGATTACGTATTTTTCTTTTACTATTTTTTGCAGAGTTAACAGTTAATATCTACAATCAGTTGTGATTTCAAAGTTTTGTGTAATTGTTTTGTAGTGAAGGTTTGTAATAAATTCTACTTATTTTGATTATTTTAATAAAATATAATTTTTATCCTTAACGTAGAATTTTTTACCAAAAAAGAAAAGTAAACATATTTTTAAAAAAATACATTAATTTTTTTTATTAGTGGTACACAGCGTAACGAAAAATTTAGAAAGGGTACACAAAAGTCATATGTTTGGGAAACACTGTTCTTGAAGATACGATATTTCCATTTTTTCCATAATCTTTCTAAGAGGGAATTTTTTTGCTTCCATCCTTGTTCTAGATTAGATTTGCTAGAAGTTGATTGAGTCGAAGCTGTGGGAGAGCAACAAGCCTTCTGCCTATGAGGAAATGTCCAGGTGTAAGCGGTTCAGGTTCCTCAATATCACTGTAGACAAAGGTCTATGGTCTGGAATTTATAATTGCTTCAACTTCAATAACTAAGGTCTCTAATTCCGGAAACGTCAAAGATGTTCTTCCCAATATTTTTCTAAGGCAAATTTTTGTAGATTTTATCAGTCTTTCCCAGAATCCGCCCCACAAGGCAGCTCTTTCAACGATGAAATTCCATTCTATGTTTTTGGTGGCAAAATAATTCTGAATTTCTTTGTCCTTTAAAAATTTCCACAATAAATTTATCTCAATTTTTGCTTTTTTGAAAGTTTTTGCGTTGTCAGAATACAGTTTTCTACAAAGTCCTCTGCGGGATACAAAAGGAACGTTTTTGTAGTCAGATCTTCAGTGAGCTCAAGATGGACGGCTCTGGTGACGGCGCAGGTAAAAAGCAAGCTTTTTTCATTCCGTTAATACTCTTCACATAAAGAGGACCTGCATAGTCAATTCCTGTTACTTCGAATGGATGAGCCTGTTTAATACGGTCTGGAGGGAGAGGAGCTTCGTCTTGGGTAAAGGGCTTAGCTCGAAATTTCTTGCAAAGATTGCAGTTGAAAATAATACTCTTAATTCTTTGACTTCCTTTAATAATCCAATAGGTTTCTCGAACGTCTGTTAATGTATCGGCAACTACTGCATGTCCTAATCTTTCATGACTTCTGCGAATTACAAGATTCGTAAAGTGACTTCTACTGGGCAGTAGCATCGGAGATACTTCTTTGTGACTAATTTCAGCATATCGAAGTCTGCTCTGCAAGCGAATGATGTTATTTTCGTCTAACGAAATAAAAAAGTTTTTCAATATTGATTTCGAAGATATGTTTTCTCTGCATTTTAGTGCTTTTAATTCTTCTCTAAAATGCTTTTCTTGAGTTGTCTTTATCCAATATTCTTCTGCTGATTGTAATTCTTCGCAACTAATAGTTCCGGTTTTTCTGTTTTCTCTATTTTTAAAATTAAAGATAAATCTTCTTATCCAGGCAGTGATACGTAAAATTTTCGTTAAATTTCCAAATCTTTCAATATTAATAATTTTCTCCATCTCTGAATCTATTGAAAGAACTACTGACTTGTCAACCTCTTCATTATCGATAGTTGCAAGCTCTTGATTTTCCTTAGGCCAATTATCTTCACTTTTTATTAGCCATTGAGGGCCGCTCCACCACAATTCTTTGTCAAGCAGATTTCCTAAGGATTCGCCACGAGTTAGCAGATCTGATGGATTTTCGTCATCAGGACAGTGCGACCATGAAGAAATGACAGTTTTTGAACGAATTTCAGTTACACGATTTTGGGCAAATGTTTTCAGCCTTTTAGATTTTCCACGAATCCAGTGAAGTACTATCATCGAATCTGTCCAGAATCGAACGGAATAGTCTGTCACAGATGAAAGGCTTTTCTTTACATATTCAAATAATCGACTTCCAATTACAGCTGAGAGTAATTCAAGTCTCGGAAGTGTCAACTTTCGAAGAGGGGCAACTCTGGATTTAGAGCAAATTAACGATGTTCGAAAATGTCCACCATAGTCTGTATATCGAATATATAGGACTGCACCATACGCTCGTTTGCTCGAGTCAACGAAACAATGAAATTGAAAATTTCCCTTTTCTTTAGCATTCTTCAGATAAAATCTAGGTATTTCAAAGTTATTTGAGTCTTTTAGTTCATCACACCATTTGTTCCAGTCTTTCGTTATATCTAATGGTATAGGATCATCCCACTTGAATTTTTGTTCCCAAATATTCTGAAGAAGAATCTTTGGTCTCAGCGTAAAGGGATTAATAAATCCAAGATGATCAAATATTTTCGATGCAAATTTTAAAATTAATCTTTTAGTTAAAGGATTAAATTTGTTACTTAATTCAGCAAACTTGCATTCTAATTTTAGCGTATCATCTTTCGAATTCCAAATGTAACCTAACACCTTAGAAGATTCATTTGAATTTTCGTTGCAATTTACGGACTGATCTAGTTTTATCTGAAGAGATTCCGAATTTGTTTTCCATTTACGTATATTAAATCCACCTTCACGTAAAATTTCTTTTATTTCCTTATAAATTAAAAGGCATTGGTTTTCGTTATTTAATCCAAAAATCAAATCATCAACATACAATTTAGAATTTAAAATTTTATATGCTAACGGATATTTACGTTCGTACTTACTTACATGATATTTGAGAGTTGCAGCCAACAAAAATGGACTTTTAGTAGCACCAAATAACACACGCGTCATTCGAAAAATTTTAATTTTTAACTTCTCTTTACTTTCAAAATTGTCCTCGAACCATAAGAATCTAACTGCATTTCTATCTCTTTCATCTAACAATATCTGCAAAAAACTTTGCTCTATATCGGCAGTTAACGCGAATGATTTGCTTCGGAAATCTAAAAGTAATCTGAAAGAGTCGGGATTCAGATTCGGCCCGTAATGTAAACAATCGTTCAATGATAATTTATTTTGCGAGTGGGATGAGGCGTCATAAACTATTCTTAACTTCGTTGTAGTTTTATCATCACGTATGACGGCATGATGAGGCATATAATATTCTCTATCCATATTCGTTTCACCCTTTTCATTTATTTCAACGGGTTCCACTATCCCCTCGCAAATTTGCTTCGATAATACATCCCTATAACGATCGTAAAATTCCTTATCTTTATCAAATCTCTTAACTTTCTAAGCGGTATTTCGCGATTTTATAATTATTTTCTAAATTTTCAGCATTTTCATTCCACGGTAATTTTACCACGTATCTATTGTTCTGAAATTTTATATTTTTCTCAAAATCCTGTAAGATAAATTCCCCATCATTATTAGACAAATCCCTTTTTTCGTTTTCGATACCCAATACGTCCAATTTCCAAAAATTTTGCAGAATTAAATCTGAATTTTCTTCACTCGAAGAATCTACGACTACTTTCATCATTTTCTCTCGCTTTCACTTTTTGTTTTGTTTTCTAAATAAGATGAACCGCTCAAGACCCATCCGAAAAGACTATCCATTGCAACCAGAGAAGTATGTGGAATCCTGTATATATAACCAGAAATAATTATTCCAATAATTGTCGGCGCCAATCAGTAGTCTGACGCAAGAACTTTCACTTCGTTCCCACGGTGATTCATCTGCGAGTGTTAAATTGTTTACGCAGCATAAATTTCTTATTTCTCTCTCTGGCCGATGAATAACTGCATTGCTAATAGCGTGGGTAGTTAACGCTTCTAATTGCATCCTTTTCGTAGGATCATGAATATTTCTTAAATTTACTAAAACACGATCTATTGTTTCTTCCTGGGGTTCTATCGAACCAAAAGGATATATTTTTACAGTTTATTTCCCTATCGTTTTTAATTTTAACTGATTAAAAAGATCCGATTCGACAAATGATTTTTGACTACCTAAATCAAATAAGATACGTATTTCAGCTCGTTTGTTTTTATTTTCTGCTAATACCGTCGCGGTTTGGAGTAAAATATTACTGCTCGAATTTTTACTTTCTGCAACAGAAGACACAATAGTTTCATTTTGGGGGACTTCGGGTTTTGATTCTAAAAGTTTATCATTATGTTTTTTACTACAAATAGTACAAGCAGGTTTCTTAACACATCGCCTGACAATATGAAATTTTTCTAGACAATTAAAACACCTACCTTGACGTAATAAACATTGTTTCTTTTCGGCAACACTTAATTTACATTCATCATTTTTATGATCATTAGAAAATAATACACATTTATTTTCATTGCTAATAACATTTAAAGCAGCAGCACTCACATTCCTATCGTATCTCAATTTTGGGAATTTATTATTTTCAAAACCAGAAAATTCTCTTTCATTTCTATTTTTAGAATAACCCTGAAAAGAATTAGATTCTTTTTTCTGAAATGAAAATGTTCTTTATCTTATTTCGATTTCGGATTTTAAATACTCTAACAATTTTGTTACGTTCCATGAATCTGTTTCGTTTTTATATTCGCGATTATAATTTAAAATTAAACTATCAAGTATTAATTTAGTTATAATTGGGAAAAGTCAATTACCGTAACTTTCAAGTTCGATGCCAAGTGATTCTAAAATACGTATTTGAATTTCACACGTATCGTATAATTCGCGGAGCGCTATTAATATGTGATCTAATCAAAATTTATTTTTTGCCGTATCGCTCTTCAAGAATATTAATTGCAATATCGTAGTTTTTCTCAGACAATGTCAAACCCTGTATCGCGATTTGTGCTTTTGATTTCAGTAAACTTTTTAAGTATGTGAATTTGTCGATTTTATTCAAATTTTGATTATTATGAATCGCGTTCCTAAACTGAGACCAAAATTCCTGAAAGTTTTCATGATTGCCTTCAAATTTTTCAATGTAAATCTTAGGTAATTTAATTTTAATTTGAGCTTTTGAATTTTGGAATAAGTCACTAACAGTTGTATTTGAGCTTTCGACGCTAACAGTTTCTTTTTCGATTGCAGTCTTTTTGAGAATTTTCTCAATTTTAAACTTATAGAGAATAATTTTATCTCTACATTCTTCAGATGATTCAACTTCTGCTGTTATTTGTTTACAGTCTTCGATTTTATCAATAATGAGTTTATCTAGTTCAATCATTTGTTTTTCTTTTAACTGTACAAGTGCTACTTCTAAATATTCTAAATTCGAATTTTCTAAAGCTTCGTCAATTTTAGTCATGAGTTTAGTGGCACTTGTTCTTAAACCGCCTCTTCTCGTTTTTAGTTTCGCTTCATCCGTCATTTTCGTTTTCAAATTCTTATAAACAACAAGTAATAAACAGTAATAGTCTCGGTGTTTTCGGCACCATGAAAAAGGTATAGTAGAAATAATTCTAATTTTCTCTCTTACCTGGATCTTATCTATTTACCAGACTTCGCTCGCAAATCTGATTCGCTTGTGTTCAAAAGAAAACGAATTCTAATAATTAAACAATTTTAATGAGAGGACGCGGACTTAACATAAAAAACGATCTTCTTTCATCGAAGCTATAGAAATCAAACTAAAACAGAAAAGAAAAAAAAACATTAATGCGATTCGAGCGCCATCTGTGGGCATTCAAGTTAATCTGTTTCAACTTGCTTGAAAACTTGCTGTCCGTTTCAAAAATACGCAAATCGAAAGGCAGTCGACATGTTTCAAGCTTTCAACTGGAGGCCAATTTTTAAGACTTGCCTATTGTGATTGAGAAGAAACAAAAGTGATTTGAAATTTATCGTCACTTTTGCTTCTTCTCATTCATGTCTAGCAAGTCTTGAAAATATGCGCTTATTTTAGAGCGCTTGAATTATGCTGACTGTTATTCCAGATAGGGTCCCATTATAGTTAGGAAAGCTGTTCAAAGTTTGGATCCTTTAATGTTAAATTTACTTTTTGCTTTTTAATTCACAACTATTCAAAAATTCTACCACCTGTTTATGAAATTTGTTTACCCAAAATTTTTTATGGAGTAATAATTTTTAATAATTATTTTTATTTTTTGTTTAATAATAGTCGAAATAAGTTTGAATTGCATGGCAAGCAAATGTTTGTACAGTTTTAAAGTATGTAATTTTAAATGATAGAATACAAAATTTCAACGGAAACAGTTGAATAAGTTCATGAAATATGAATTGTTAAAAATACGAGTTTTTGATATCTTATAATTTTCAAACCATTCGACTGATTTGGTTTTAAATTTTTTATGTTTTCATTTAGAATGTAAAACGTTGTATATCTTAAAATTAAAAAGTTTTCCCACAATTACTAAATTAAATATAAAAATAAATAATTATTGGAAATGAATTTTTCATAAAAATGTATGGATAATTTCACGGAATTCGGAGCTTTTCCTTGAAGGGGTGCAGGAGTTTTTTGATATGTGCAACTATTTTTCAGATACATAGTTAAAAACGCAAAAAAGTAAAATTAACATTAAGGTGCCCACACTTTCAACCGTCCTCTTGATTAAGCTTGCACCAGACAAATTGCAGCTACTTTTCATTATTTTGATGATCAAAATCTAAATCCCTCGAAAAAAGAATATGTTTATTCAGAGAAAGAACGTTTTTGTGTTTCATTCCGCAATTTAATTAATACGAAGTATGAATTAATTAGTATATTTGAAGTCAGCTCTTTGGTATCTTAGGATGTATGATTTTGTGCGGGAAAACCCGATTATTAGAAAGTTACTTCAGAGTTATATATTTTTTTTATTGCTAACTGTTTAAAAGCAACTTGTTATACCAAACTATAACTTTTTTATGAAAATCTAAATTCATCGGAAAAATAATATGCTTATTCCGAGAAATCGCGTTTTTGTGTTTAATTCCGTAATTTAATTTATACTAAGTATAAATTAAAATTAGAATATTGGAGGTCAGCTCTTTGGAACCTTAAGATATATGTTTTTAGTACGAAAAATCCGATAGTTAGAAAGTTGCTTCAGAGTTATATCTTTTTTTTTTATTGTTCACTGTTTAAAAACAACTTTTATACTAAACTATTATACTGCATAGTTTCACTACAAGACATCGTTGTCCTTTCATTTTTTCTCAGGTAAGAAATTTACACTAAATAGAGATTTCGAAGTTTTGGCAATCACACATCTAGGGTAGTAAATAGGCAAAAAGTTGTTTGAAAATCAACAAATGAGTAGAGTATAGTAGGGGAGAGTTGGATAAAACGGGATAGTCGGACAAAACGGGATACGTCGCCTAGGGACCAGACTATTGCAGCTATCCAGTGGACAACGACAGAAACGTGTTATTCGACAGTGATTATATCATTCTCGGTGCGTCCCGCCTTGAGATCACTATTTGATAGAAAGTTGTAGGTCTCAGAATTTTTTTACTCTATTTTTTTGCCATTTTCTACATTTACGTGCGTTGTTTTTTACATTGTACTGCCTACATATATGGGAATAAAATTCCGGTGAGTATTAAGTTTAATTAACCATTTATTTACCAATATTTTTATGTGCAGTCTATCTAATTTTCTTTTCACATTTACGCAGCAACCATGTTTGTTTCAAAAAGTGACGGAGTCGGACAAAACGGGACCCTTGTGAGTTGGATAAAACGGGATAAAGTTTTTCATGTTCCGTTTTATCGACCTATTTATTTATTGGACTATTACATTTTAAAATAGCCATATATTAATGTAGGCCTAGGCTTTTTAAACAACTTATTTATATTAACTATGGATATTTTTTGAATAATTTAGTCTCTTTATATAGTAATGCAAAATTTGTTTATTAACGTTCACTATTAAGCATTTTATTTTCGACTCTAGGATTTCACATCTTTCTTTAGAACTAATTGTAATGTATTTCTCTGATAAAAACTTTTTTATACATAAACAATTATTATACATAAACAATTATTTATATATTTGCATTATTTATTATTTTATCTTTATATATATGCAAAAAATTAAACATTGTAAACCCTATCCCGTTTTATCCAACCCAGGTATGCTAAAACGGGATATGTAAGAGTTTGGAAACGAATTTTTTTTCCTATTTCGCTGTCATTAAAATTAGTTGAAAATATGTTTTTTGTGTGCTTCAATAAATGTTGTAGCTACAAAAAAAAATAATGTATTGTTTTCCTAAACAGATATTCCGTAGTAGATAAAAACAATAATGGTATCCCGTTTTATCCAACTCTCCCCTACTTGCCTAACGATATTTAATATTTAACGATAACGATTTTTAATAATATCATTATTTTCGAGTTAAAGGATTTTTAATATTTTCATATTGTGTTCCATAATCAGTGGCTTTAATTTTTGAGTTTTATATTGTAATTTAATTGACTACTTAAAATATAATTTTTTTTATATAAAAATTAGGATATGCGTATTTTTTAAGCAATGTTCAAAAGACATTATCAATAGTAAAAACACGCAATCTTTCTCTGATAATACCAATGCCGTGTTATTCTAGTCATTTCTTAGACACGCGAAATGATTTTTTACCAAATAGCAATTCATAATACAATACTTCTTAGGGTTTGAAGCGTCATCTTAACGGTTTAAAAGGATATTAAAGATTTTTATTTCCTTGATGATGAAATGCTTTTCAAGATCATTTGTGTATTTTAAAACTTCTTTTGAAGGCGTTTTCTTCTTTGATATGATATTTAAATATCAGAATATTTTATACTTTTCTTTTCTGTAATTACCATTACATTTTTAAAATTTTTTTGATATTTTATTTTTTAATGCAAAATTTTTTTCTTCAAAAGAAGTTCGCGTTTTATATCACTATTTAAACAATACACTTGAAGTTTTGTTAAATTATATTTAATTTTATTGAATAGTTTGTACAATAACATAAGACAATATATAGAGAAAATACATACTCGATATAAAAGTTCTGACTTAAAAATTTCGCATTAATATATAACTTAGATTTTCGATATAGTTTGAAATAATCTGCTTCGAAATACTGGATAATACTGATAATGTATTTTAAGAATCTTTGCCTAAAAATGAATAAGATTTTAAAATTAATGTTTAAGCTAGACAAAAAAGTAAGAAAGAAATGTCAGCGAAATATGACGGATTTCTATTGAAGAAATCTAGATTAAAACACCACATTTTGATTGTCTGATGAAATTCAGTGTGTTAATGTTTGCCTTTCATCTCTGCTCTATCGGGAATCTAATAGTATTTGAGAGTTTTAGTTTCATCTTCCGTCATAGTGATTTGTCCAATTTTAACAAAGCATTCTTTAGGTCAATATTAAATTTCATTATTATTTTTCAATATCAAAATGCGACAATGATAAAACCACAAATTGTTTCAAAGATGATCATAATTTTAAATCTAAATGTTCCTAGTATTGTTTTTAACCAGGTACTGTACACGGTTTCAAAATTTCTACTATATACAAAACATTGTATTGCCGAAATAGGTAATGTGATATCTTTCACTGATACATTCGTAAGAAAATCTTTTCTTAATAATTTGAAAATGGTGCTTATCATCATATAATTAGGAAATTAACAATTAAAACTGTTTAAATATTAATTTTAAGAATAAAAAAAATATTTTTGTAATTTTTTACATTTGTGTTTAAAATACGCAATTTATATTTTTAACAGATTTAAAAATTTTCAAGTCGTTATTTACAATGAATTTAATAGAATTGAATGTATGAATTGAAAAGCTTGGAGCAAAAACGTTACGATAAACCACATATTGTTTTAAAGATTATAATTTTACATCAAACTGTTTCTACTATTGTTTCTAAACAGGTACTGTACAAGTTCTCGGAATTTATCCCTGTAAGCAAAACATTTTATCACTTAAATAGAAATTGTGATATTTTTCACTGAAGCATTAATTTGAAAATGTTTTCTTAAACATTTGAAAATGGAGCTTACTATCACATTGCCCGAAATAATTTAATAAGTAATTAATTTGGATTACGAAGTTTTGAGTTGACACAGACACTTATACACAAAAAAAGATTTCTCCCTATAAACAAAACATTTTGTTATCTAAATAGAAATTGTGGTATAATTCATAAAAAAATCTTTCTTAACAACTTGAAAATGGAGCTTACCATCATGTTGCTCCAGGTCCCATAATAAGTTATCAATTTTTATGACGAAGTTTTTAGTTCTTTACATAAACAAACACTTAGACACTAATACGCAAAAAAATTTTTTTACTTACATTCATACTGTAAATCTGGAATTGATATTTACACAGAAAAGTGTGTTCATCAATGCTTCACTGAATAAATGAAAAATAAAAATGCAGTTTGCATTTTAGTTAATAGATATCAGAACTCATTTTTGTGTAACGCCTAATGAATATTTTTGGACAATGAATGAAATGTTAGATCTCAGCTGTCATCGACCAAATATATAAAATCCACAGACCGACTTTCATAAAGACAAATAGCCTTGAAAAGATGCATTGTTTGCTTGTCATAATTGCGCTGGAGAGATGACATTTATTTTATGAGTTCCGACAAATATGCGTGCTAAGTTGCAATCGGTAATTTTAACGATTTATGAAAGTATTCACTAATCGTCAATTTCGTTTACAAAAGAATTTGATAAAAATAACATTGACATTTAGTTAGTACTTAACTTAAGGATAAGGTAAGTCTTCTTTTTTTCATTAAAAAAAAAGGAATTTTGAAGGACTTTTAATCTGATCGCTTTTTAATTTCCTTGATAATATAAGCTGGTACATTAAAACGTATCCTATTCTTCGATGCCTAATCAGGCGACGCACTGATTATTTAACACAGGTTAAAACACGCACTAAAAAAAATCCTGACACAGGTTTCAATATCATTGCAGTTGTTGTTGCTTTTTAGGACATTGTTCCATTGCACCTATTACCAATTCTATTCAATTTAATTGCTGTTGTTATGAATACGATATTTGGCAAATAGATGACGAGAACTAAACAGGAATGATATTGTATCATTATTTCAAGTTATTAAATGATATTGCATCATTACTTTTGATTGAAAAATAAAACACATGTAATTTCTTTTTTTTATAGTCGCTATTTAATATGAATAATTGACTCAGAGTTTATTGCTTACACAGTTAAAAATTTGACTCGAAAAGGTCCTCCGATTATGCGACGACTTTAATTTTCAGTCATGGCCTTGGCAAAGTTTCGGATTAACGGTAATCGGCAATGTTTCCAAATTGTCGCACTACGACATACCGAGTGTGAGTGTTTAGTAAGCGTGTACTTAATATTTTGTCTATAATCTTTATAAAAAAATTCCATAATTTACATATAGGAGATAGAAAATTAATTTTTAAGCTAGAAAAAATCAATGAAAATTTGGGTACCAGATTGACAGCCAAATGAGACTTAAAAAGACAAAAATTCTATGAAAATCTATCAAATAATTTGTGTGAAAGGTGGGCTTAAAACATTGAAATTTTGGAGGAGTTTCTGATTATAGCTTATTACCCCCTCTCAGATTTCTTCCTGTAATCAAACATATTTTGATATTTGTAGTCTCGCTCTCCTCAATAGCGGTTCATCAGATTCTAATAAGGACTTTCTCGTGCATTAAATTCTTATTTGCGATTTTTTTTATTGCGTTTTTTCTTTTCTTGTCATCTGTATGAGTTCTTAGCTTAAATTTAAAACGATGTATGAAACTTTTGTGGTACAGATCGCAGTCGAATACATGTTCCCATTTTTTTGCCAGCGAAAAAAAAACTGTGGGAAACTGAAAAATATCCCAGGAAACATCCCTGGTGGGAAATTGGAACGTCCCCTATGATGATCTTCAGACAGAATACATGGGTTACAACCCGTTTTACAAGGAGGACATATCCATACATCATCCCTCTGCAGTTTGTAATTTTTACCTGAGCTAAAGAATGATCAATCTCCAATTCAGTACCCCCTGAGGTATTGTTTTGTTTTGGGAGCTTGAAGGACATTGTGATTCTGATCGATTTAGCGTGCATCATTCACCATTTTGTGCATGGGTAGTCTTCGGCCGGTGGAGATCAAACCAACAACCCCTTGGACAATATCCAAACGCCCTAAAAGCCGAGCTATACCGGCCCAGCAAGGTCTGAAAAACTATTTATTTGATAATATTCAAAGATATGGTCGGGAGAGAGTTCGGTGTCGATGCAGTGAGGACAACTTCTGTAGCTTCGATCACAGTTTAGGTCAGGGATGGTGTGCTTCAGAGAGGTAGTAGAAAGTAGTCTGCGGCTGGCTATGGCATCAGCATCAGTTAGGATCAGGCTGTTGGAAAATTGAGAGTTATCTCGGGCATCATTGGCCAGGATATCAGCTTTCTAATTACCATCGATATCGACGTGTGCTGGTATCCATTGAAGGATACAAGTTCTTTGGGCCGCGGTTATTTGGTTTAAGAGAAGGATGATATCTTGGGTGAGTTGAGAGTCTCCTCTTAAAATATCCTGGAGATCAGAGCGAGAGTCCGAGAATACCAAAACTCCGTTAGAATTTTGGATTGCCATACTGGCGAAGCTCGTCAGGATCCATCTGGATCCCCCGAAGCAACTCCTCTATTCCATAGAGATTATTGATGTTGCCAAAGCTGTTTTAGATGCTTTTGGACAAATTTAATTTTCTTTGCATTACTGGACAAGACAACAACAACAACAACATTTGATAATATTTACTTTTCAATTATGTATTTGTTTCTAAAAGAATGGTAATCAGAACTATAATTTTGAAAATCAAAATTTCTGGTTAATCGTTACGATAGCAAATAGTAAAATTACCAAATAAATGGTTTAAATACCATATAATTTGATTCAATTACTAGAGTTATGCTTCTTTTACCAGAAATGTCTTTATCCTAGTTAGGTAATCTGTTAGAATTTTTTTCTATGTGTGAATGATAAATCGCATTTTTGTCATTGTATTACTAGCACAATTTGATGTGGAAGAAAATAATTCGTGTAATCGTGGAGAAATCTTGGTCTTTGTCGATTCAGAAGTCAATCAGGTTTGACACACTCTCGTGACGTTCCTTATATGTATCCAATTAAATTGATTTAAAGTACATGGCATAGACATAATCACTTTACTTCTTCTCGACTTGCAAGCAACCAATTATTCAGAATACTGAATAACGTACTGAATAACGTACAGTACATGTAAAAATAAATATTTAAACCAATAAATAAAATGCTACGTCGAATTTCTTACCTAACTATTGGATTAAGTACAAAGAGCTATTCTTCATGATTTGAAGAGTCAATTTAGAATATGTTTTAGTGTAAAATACAAATTAAGTTACAAAATTTAACATAAAGTTGAACTTTATATGAATAAATATTTTTTTCTGCCGATTTTGTTTTCCTCGAAAATTTAAAAAAGGTCAAACGAGTGTTAACGCCATATCTGTAAGATGAACTGCGTTAACCGAACATAATTTTTTTCCTCTATTAAACTAGTTAATCGCAAGGCAATGTTATGCAATAATAATATTGCAATTATAATTTATGCAATAATAATAATTCAATTATAATTTATGCACTTATAGTTTCATGCGAAAATAATATTCTTAATAATTCTTTAGCATTTTTTATTATTTAATTTAATAATGATAAATGCTCCTTAAATTATTTTAGTATATACGCATAACAATGCAACATAATTATCAATGTTGATATCAACGTTAAATGTTATGAAATAATAATAATGCAATTACATTTTTATGCAATAATAATATTTTGAATAATATTTTACTTTTTTTTTATTATTTAATTTAATAATGATAAATGCTCCTTAAATTATTTTAGTATGTACACATAAAAGTGCAACATAATTATAAATGTTAAAATCTAAAATGTAAATGAAATCAGATAATAGATTTCATTTTATATTATATTACAGAAAGATTTAAAATATATATTTTACTGTCAAACAATTGGAAAGAAAAAAAATGCAAAGAAAGCTGTTTGATACTACGTCAAACTATCCGAAAAAGAATTTAAAATCAAAACTAAACGACAGGTATTAAAAAAGAAACTCTATACAGAAAGAAAGAAAAACGGAAAATGAAACGGCGTCCAAGACATACTAAAAGTCGCATAAAATGAAATTTATGTTCTTTCGTTATTTCTACGTTTTCGTAACAATGCTTGAAAGAAAGGTATAAATTATTTTTAGATTTAAATTTTGACATCTTATTAAAGTGAAGAAATAAAGTTTTTCTGAAATGGTTAAAAAAAATAACCGCCAAGACAGCTACTTATAATTATCATACTGGTACTAATTCTATTATTTACGTCGCACTAGAGTTGCACAATGGGTTATTGGCGACGCTCTGGAAAATATCCCTGAGGATGATCCGCAGACAACATACATACGTCAAATCCCGTTTTACAAGGAGGACGCATTCACACATCATCCATCCGCAGAGCCATGATGACTCAGAAATTAGAGTGTTCGCCTTCCAATGAGGTTAACCGGGTATTGATTTATAATGGGAACTTGGAGGACTTTCTGACCTTGACAGACTTGCACCAGTCACCATTTTGTACGCGGGGAGTCTTCGGCTGGAGGGAATCGTTGTTGCTCTTAAGAACATAATAGTTGGTTGAAATTAAACTGATGCTAGTCAGAAGCTCATAGCTTCGGCTTTACCGAAGGGATTCTAATGAAACTGCAGATATACACTGACAAAATAAGTCTTAAAAAAATAATTCGAAATTTTGCCAGTGGGTGGTGATGCAGTGAAGTAAAAAAGATATCAGCACAAATATCAAAGAAAAACAGATCATTTAATTTCTTTACACATCTATGTGCACAATTCGTCGCTCAGAATAAATATGCTAAACATCAGTATCGACGACCGCATGTAACTTATCATAAAGAATGTAGGTGGGCATGTTGGATGATGCTGGTTTTTAAATATGTTTTATTAGTAACACGTGGCTGATAAATGTGATCTTTAAGATAATCCTACAATCAGAGGTCTTGAGGGTTTACTTCTGGTGACCTTTCTAGAAAAAAAATCAGAAAAGTATAAAAGTAAGTGAAATGACAAGTTCATTAGACAAGTGAGTATGAATCACATTCTTTATACGTCTTAGCACATGAGAAACTGTTCCTCCTGCACTGCAAAAAATTCCAGATCAAATTACGGTATAAAACGCCGGCACTTTGGTGGCTTCATCCGTAAAATCCATTTTTACTGTAAAATATTATACCGTAACTCTTACAGTAACATTTAATTAGAGTGATTCAGTGATTTTACTGTAATTATTGCTACAAAACTTACAGTTTATCAAATTTTTTGTTCCATAACATGTTCCGGTAAAATGGATTTTATGGTAAAAGTACCGGCATACCATAATTTGATCCTGAATTTTTTACAGTGAGCAGAATCAGAGAACGATCGATCTTCAATCCAGTACCCCCAGAGGTATTGATTTGTTATGGGAACATGGAGAACTTTTGCGACTCGACAAATTTAACGTGCATCAGTCACCAACTACACGGGGAGTCTTCGGGGTTTGAACCTACGAACTCTCGGACAGCCCTGGTCGGACAGCCTGGTCGGTAGGGCCCAGCGCCCTACCGACCAGGCTATCCCGGCAGCAGGTTCTTCAGTTGTTGCAATTGCAACTTCCTCCCTAATTTCCGGCTTTGTCTCACGTTTTCTTCGTTCCAGTGTTTACAAAAAACCGTTTTTTTTTTT